TATGATAAATATAATAAAGAATTAAAAAAAAAAAATAAAAAGAAAAAAACATCAGATTACCTATCACTTCACGACTACTAGCCTCAACGCTCAAGTTTAGGACGGACCTTGTGGGATGATCCGACGGGAACTCATTCCGTGAATCGGGAGCCAAGAGGTCCTCTCTTACATGGACATTAACTAGTAACATTCAGCGAACCCTATTGCGCAGACGCTTTACCGGACTTAACATTTCTATAAAAAACCCTCTTATTTGGGGTGCGCTAGCGAGTTAGACCACACAAAGTGAGTTAATTGTTGCGTTGTGCTCATTTTCTAGCAACAGATGTGATTATCGGTTACTTGAGCGTCATATATAGAATAAACTCCCTCCCCACCTTACGTAATGGTGGGCTTATCCAATATCCTCGGAAACCGAAAGAACCGGCCCCCCCCCACGACACGGGGTGTTTATCTTGAGTTAATACACCCTTGGACGTATGAGACACATATGTGTTACACTTAATTTACGTCCTCAGTTAACATATCTCAGTATACTTTCTTACATGGGTATATGAGAGTGGAAATAAATATATGTATTCAGTTGTTAAAGGATCGGTCAAATATACCAGAGATAAATATTCAAAGTTGTAGAAGGGATGTATTACGTAAAAAAAGATTTACTACCAAGGTAAATTGACACTTTAACGTCTTCGTCCCTATGATTCCGCACTGATGGGACTCTATACCTGTCACGAGATGGTGCCTGTTAATAGTTAAGTTCATTAGGTTCTATGACCCACTAGTAAAGTGTTTTGCATATACACACAATCTAAAGAGAAGTTAACGTTACAGTTGCTTTTTTCAGGAGAACCCCGGATACAACGATTTCCTGACTGTTTACCTACACATAAAGTGCAAACCCTGTGATTTTTACATAAGAAAGTTATTCAGCCACGTAAGGACCCCGAATATCTGCCGTTCGTCTTACACATAGAGGTGTCCGTTGGTGTGTACGCTTCACTAGATAACGAGGTTTCTAGGGCTTACCCTTGCCTGTGTTGCGTTTGAGCTTCCAAAGTTTGATCGGGCCAGTATAGGTCCAAGAGTTGCCCTGTGAAACTGTATAAGGTCATCCCTTTCTTGGCCATGATTCATCGAGCAAGAGATCTCCATTGAAATCCCAATCAGATCCATTTGTGGCGGACGATATTTAATTGTGGCGGCCCGCCACAAATAAATCAATGTATGGGAAACACTGAAAGTTTGCATACACTTATCTTATACAGTGTATGCCTCTATTGGGTCCTAAGTAGTTGAAACTATGAAAGCTGGAAAGCCCTGTAGAAGGAACAGAATAACCTGTTTAATAAAGGGACAGATCCTGCTGTAAACAGTCATCTACTTACAAGCTTTAGGCTTTGTGCTGTTGTTCCAGTAATAGAAGCAAACAAGATAATTGCCTGTTTTTCTGTTAGTATCACAACTTCAGTGAGCTTGATATGCAATTTAGTGGGTCATAACAGATGAAAGGAATTCTAAGATGTCCAAACTGTCTTTAGATTATTTCTAGATGTATTGATAGGTATATCAAATGTCAAAACATTGTGAAAAATGTCCACTCATGGTTTCTAAAAGTCTGAGGCGATGTGATCTTTTGTTGTCAGTCTAAAACAAAAATATGTTAGATTTAATCTCCTAATAAACAGAGAACAGTAGGAAATCCCAATATTTTAACGCTAAAAAAGGCGCTTTAATTTTTTTATCAAAATAATTGCCGATTTATTTTCTCCCAATTCTAAAAGCTTTTGTCTTTAAAGGGAATATTACACTGGCTTGAAGTAACACCAGTTTGTCATCTTTAATATTTTTCCAGAGTGCGTAATTCAGAAGAGTTGGAAACCCCCCTCAAACGGTAGCATCAGAACTGGGGGCCAAGCAGAAAGAAACGTATGCTGGTGAGTTACTAAATTATATTGTGTCACAGTTACAATGAAAGGATTAGTCACATGTCTTAATGTGATTGCATCAGCGAAAGCCCGATGATTCAGTCATGTTAAATTGGAGTTGTGAGAAAATGGAATGGAACATTTTGGTTTGTGAAACACTCAATTAAAAAAAAAAAAAAATGGGTCTAAGATTACACTCAAGCTAATTCAGAAGCTTAATTTGTCATTTAATTTATTGTGATGTGTATAACTAAATTCCCCCACAGTATCTGAGGTGATTCTCAGTCAAACTCAGGAAAAACAAAATGTTCATGATTTGTCATGCTTACTTAATATGTTGTGGTTGGTGAACCACTTGATAAAACTCCCATACTAAATAGACTTGCTCCTGATTTCCCCTGAAGGCCAGGCACAACAAAGACTCTAATGAGGGACACACAAGCAGCTCTGTTGGAGTAAAGGAGGGTGTGCTCTTAGAAATAGGTCCTGCTTTCGGCTACAACCTATCTGCTGAGAGGTTCATAGGTCACCTCCGCCTCATGTTTATAAACACTGTCTCGCTGACAGCACTGAAGTTAGACTGGTAACCACACACAGCGTCCTCAGCCTGAGTCAGAGCAGCATCATTCACTTAACTTCACACACAAGCCAATTCAAAGGCAGACCGGTAAGTAGCCTCGCTTCTCTAGAAGGTAACTTTAGTGTTAGTTTTTATTGTTTTTTTTAAGGAAATGTTTGATTTGTCTTTCGGCCTTTTACATGTGGTTTATCACCTGAATGAGTCACACATTCAAAGTTGTAATTTAGGTCTTTTACAACCTTAGTTTGTGATGGAAGTTCACTGTGAAAATGACCCGCGATAGACAGTTACATTAAGTACTTGCACACTTTAAAATAGAGATAATAAACACCGCTAGTTCTTGATCTTATTATATGGGGGGAAGGAAGTTAATAATGAGCAAATAGTCATTAACTAAGCTGTTGATGTCGTCTGCTCGACGATCAAGGCTCTGGAGATTAAACTTTGTTTTAGCCAAGCCAAATCTTTTAAAATTGTATTTTCTCTAACCGAAGTGGGATAGATTCAAATTCTGTATCAAACCGTTTTTTGTTGGAGAGAAGATTTTAGATTGCTAGATTGTTGCTCATTTCATGCTTTACCCCCAAAACATGTTGTAACTAGAGCCCATTGTCAGTCTATCAGCAACGTGTTCTGTTTTAAATTACGCTTTTGTGTGATTTTCTGTATCCACTGTGCTTTGGACGCTTCTTGTGGGTGTCTGGAAAAAAATCAATATAGAAGTTTGTTATTTAGTTTTTGCTCCCACAAACGTTTACCGTGCATTCTGTTGTTACTAGCCTGGACAACTTTGAAGAGGATCTCTCATTCTCTTTATTTTTTAACATTTAGCCCTGTATCTGTAGTCTGCAACACAAATCCATTCCCTCCAGATGGCCATGCTGTAAATTCAGTCTAAACTTTGCTAACAAGCGGGCTGCCAAAGGCCTTTGTGAGTTTGTGTGTGTGTCTGGTCTCTAGCAGTATTCCTCATGTGACCCACTCTTTACTCCTCCTCCACCGCCCTCACCCCTCACACATCAACCCCCCACAGGCTTCACAAGAGACCTCATGAGGATCATTTGACTGGAATGATATTGCTGCTTCAGGCTTTTTAGAGGGGAAAATAAGCAATTTGTTACACGATTCCCAGTAGAGAGTGTATTGTGCTCCCTGATACGCTTTTTTATGTGCTATGCTAAGATAAAGTTAGCAGATGAGGTGGTGTGAGTGCACTATTTGTTTATGGTCTGCATGCTTATCGTGCTAAATCTTTTGGTGTGCTTTCTAATGATTGAACTTTGGTAGACCCTGCTGCAGTGTCTTAGAAAGGATGCTCTTGTCAGTCTTTTTGTTGATTACTGATTTAATGTCATCAAGATCTATTCATCTGTTATCAGTCCTTCCTGTTCACAGTCATTGTTTTACAGTGTTTCCACCCAAAAGTCTACATAAAAGCTGCCTCTGTCTGGCTTTATTTGAACAGCTATGGGGCTGGTCTGCAATTTAGTGTTATTGTTTGACTTTTATGTGAAATCTCTTCAAGGTGATTTTATTATGTTGTAAAATTCCAAATTCCAAAGCAATGAAAACAAGTAAAATAGTAACTAAACAAAAGTGCAATTTTTTTACACATTTTTCCTGATATAATGCACGACAGGGACATACTTCCTTGCATTAGACATCCATATGATTATTTTGTGTGACATTTCCATTAGGATATATCAATGTCTTAAAATATGAATATTGTGTTGGGATTTTCAGCCCAACTTTCTAAATGCTCAAATTTGTCATTTTTATCAGGTGTGCGAGATAAGTCACATTTCTGATAGTGAATATGCACTAGATTGGAAAGTGGTCAGCATAGGACTTGTTAAATGAGATTTCCATTTTACTGAAGTAAAGACAAAGTCGCCCACATTTCCTAGAATTTTTTCCGATACTTACCTAGGAGGCATACGAGCTAAACAATGCTTCAAGGTAACAGGGTGATACAATTGCTAAAACAATGGTAATTTTAGCGGTACATTATTCTTATAAGCTGTTTGTATATTATTATTTTAGGAATGCAAAAAAAGTTATTCAAAATCTAATACTTTTTCTTTACTCTTTTGCAGGGGACCAGAAGTAAGGGGATAATGCGAGTCCACGTGCACACCAAGTTCTGTTTCCTGTGTGTGCTCACCTTCCTCTTCCATCAGTGCAACCACTGCCATGGAGAAGAACATAGCCATCAGCACGGTGGACAGCCCCACACCGACCACGACGAAGTCCACTCCGACCTGCAGATTTCCGAGGATTCGTATGTGAAAGGAGCCAGTTTTTCCTCCGAGTCCAAGAGTCCTCCAGGGCAAACTCTAGAGAAGGAGCAGCACTACTACATCCAACAGCTATTCAGCCGCTACGGCCAGCAAGACAAGCTCGACTTCGAGGGATTCCAGAGTCTGCTGTTCAGCTTGGGTCTTGGGGAGGTGAAGTTGGTAGACGCTCAACACGAGGAGCTGGGCCATGACCACGTGGCTCACCTCGACCTGGTGGATGTGCAGAAAGGGCATCACTCGCATGCATCCACCACTGATGGCCACGGGCACGGACATCCACACCACAAGCCTGCCTCCCACCATCCACACACGGAGCAGAGTCCCACAAAGTGCACCCAGCAGACCACTGCTGCCAGTCCAGCTACGGGCACACATACAGGACATGACCACGACCACGCCAAGGTAGTAGATGGTGAGCATAAACATTCTGGCGGACATGTGCAGGACAAACAAGGCCATGTCCACAATCATGATCACGCACATGACAAAGGGCACAAACACGAGCAGGCACATGTGCATTCTAACCACAAGGACGGATCTTCTGAACCTCATGACCACAGTGATCACAACGATAATGGCCAAGCTGATCATGACCACAGCGTCCACAATCATGTCCCTGAAGTTCAGACAGGCACAGACATTCCTCCTCTCAGCCAAGAGCAGATGCCCTCCGCACAGCTGGAGCCGTCCCAAGCTCCTCAGGTGCCACAGTCCTCTCCCGCCCCTACAGAAACTCAGACCAAGAAGCCGAGAAAGCCAGCCAGGGTCAGGGGACAGCGGGGGCGAAACAAAACCCCTTCTCCAAACACTCATCAGCCTGAGGCACCCGACCACGACCACGATCACAGTCACAGCTATTCTCATAAAGATAAGAGAGAAGCTCCAGGAGGGCCTGGCTCCCCCACCCTACCAGTCTCCGTTCTGTCCGGCCACCCTAAAGGATTGTTTCACCAGCATGGGGAGGTAGGACTCAAACTCACTAACTGATTTTGGCTTTGACCTGCCAAGATACCTTGTATGAATAGATTCATAGCAAGTCTTTTTTAATAGCAAATTCCAAGTAAAGTGTTAATTTATTGAATTCGGCCCACATGAATACATTTTGCGTGGAACAAACTAGGTTTTATTTCAGTATTATAATGTATAATGTATTGACTGGGTTTCTTTACTATCTCCTCTCCTTCCAGTGTCTAAACCTGACTCAGCTCCTCACCTACTACGGCCTGAGTCCTGATTCGCTCATCTCGCCCAGCCAGTTCACCTACCTGTGTCCCGCCCTACTCTACCAGATAGACAGTCGCGTCTGCATCCGCCATTTCCACCAGATGGACGTGGCTCAGGAAGCCTTGGAGCCCGTCAGTTCTGGTAAGAGCAGAGTATCTTTTCGACCAGTCCATGTTGACTGACAGTTGCCGTTGGTCATTTCTGAAAGTGGTTGGGCTGTACTTAATGTAATTTATTCTTACGTGTGAAGCTTTTAAATAAACAAGCAGAAAGAACAGGTTCAAACACAATTAATAGACATGCAAAAAAGGAATCTGCACAGCATTCAAGTGTTAAATTACAACTTAGATTTTTCTGGCACAGCTCTAGAACATTTTTCCTCTTCTCACCAATATTTTGGGCCAAACAGACCCAATCCAACGACCCTTATTTTCTCAATGGATCAATTAAAAGTATGTTTATACCCATCAGTACTGAAATCACAATTGGATATCTCATCCCAATAATACAGTGAATTTGCTCCAAAATGAAAGAAAAAGCAAATTTTTTCAATAATGAAATGAAACTCTGAAAGGTGAGATGATTGAAACAATAAACAAGATAGTATTCTATTAAAATAATGTATAAGTGAACAGAACAACTATTGATAGATTAACATTTATTGCAATAATAATTTGGTCTATGAGAGTGAACATAGTCAGCTGTAAATCCTTATCTGCTGTGCGCAGGAAACCACAGAGACATCACATAATAATCCATTAGGTTTCTTATGTGATGCTATCAGGAGGAATAACCTGGAGCTACTCTCTCTGGGGGAGGGGCAGACCTGCATAATAGAATGTTTATTTAAATAATCACGCTGTATTTGATCGTGATAACATTTGAGGTTGGTAAGGGATTCCTCTGAGAATCTCCACTCTTTTTTTCCTTTTCGGCACAATGATAGGGCAGTGTTTTCTCAGTTTCTGCTATGTAGAGCAGATAATCAGAGTGAACACTCACTCAAGCGTAACCTGAACACTGACATTAGTTGAGGAAAAACAAACAGGATATTGAAGGTAATTTTAGAGCTCACAGACCCAATGAGTAGGCTGACTAATCTCTAGCTTCTTGTATTTCTGCAGAACTAACATAATTAGCTTTTAGCAGATAAAGACAGCATAATGTGTAATGGCTTTGATGGTAGGCAGCGTAGTTCGGGAAATGTCGGTTAGAGACTTAGCTCTTGAGTTTTACAATCGCACCAAACTGTTGCACAATCGGGTTATAAAAGTTTGTTGGTAAGAGCCATGCTCTTTGGTCTTGATAACACTTTGCCAAGGCTGAAACCACACCACCACACACTCAGCACAGTCATTTAGACTGTTACAGTTATTTATACAAGGAAAGGTTTCTCAAAACCAATATGCATTTCTGTTGAAAGCATGCTTCTTGTTTATTTATACACTTCTGGACACTGCAGTTAAATGCATGTGTAGGCATGGATTGCTGGAAAACACCTGCATGATTTGGTGTTTTTGAGGGAGTTAATGTGCTAGTTACTGTTTCAACCATATAATGAGATGTTTGCTATTTTAAGGTGTTACTGGATGCAGCCACTATTTAGCATAATAATGACTTGATTCATTCTTTCAGTCAATCACAAGTCCCGCATGAGCACATGCATGACTAATGGCTATCAGCAGGTTCGATAGACACTGAATATATTAACCCTGGTGCCAAACTTTTAAAAATAGTCACTTTAATGTTCTAATGGGAGTATCTTTGAAAGATAAGAGCTACACAAATATAATATATTTATATAATGTTCCACTTTCACAGAGTAAAATATTTTAAACTGCTTAAAGGTCCTATGTCATGGTCTTTTCTACTGATCATAATTCCATTGTTGAGGTGTACTAAAATAGAAAAATACTGTGCAATTTTCCAAACTCACATTGGCCAAAGATGGAGCGTGACAAATTTACCTCTTGCAAAAAGCCCGATGATGCACGCTCGCTCAGCGTGAAGTGAACGGTTAGTCGTCGGGTGTGACCCTAGTGTACTTCCCCACCGTCCGTCAAAGATTGTTCTGGCAAACCTGTCCTTCTCACATTATGGCCTATGATATGTCTCTACGGA